TGGGAAGATAAGAAACGGATAATCGGGAGGACGAAGCAGATTCGGCTGGAAGGTGGGCGAGATAGCTGGCAGACTGGAAGGGACAAGTCGGATCAACAACTCGGACACGCATTAGGGGGATTTGGTGCGAGATGAAGCCAGCGAGATATTTGAAAGTATTGTGAAGTCTGCCGTTCCCATTGTGGGAAAGTCACCTTGACTAAGTTAATATATAAAAAAATATTTATAGTCTCAGAACCTATTTGTGGGGACATTTGATTAGATTGATATTTTTACATTTTTATTTGAGATGGGTTCAGTCTATTTCGTTTAAGTTGATGAAGGACTGGTAATTGAATTTTTCCACAATGCTATGAGTAATCCTTATGTTCCCACAGAGATCCACACAGTCTTGCTTCTCAATAGGTATTTCATCCCAGCACGAGTGTACTGCAGGTTCGACTTCGCTTGAACTGGTCACATCAGCACCCCAGCGGGACTCGAACTATGACACTTCAGCGTATTATCTCGACATTTTAAAGAATACCTCACATTGCTGCGATTGCCCTTGAGCCAAAAGACCGATCTACATTTATATGAAGGCCAGGCATTCTCCCATATCACATTTTGGGAGGGGATTGTCGATGAAGCAAAGTATTATTTGCTATTGCAATCGACTACCAGTAAATCAGATGTATGAGATGTGTTTACTGTATGTGGTTTACGATGATGATGTAGTCGAATGCTATAGCAGTTGCATCTTTGCTTCATCGACAACCCCACTACAGAATGTGAGATGGAAAAATGTCTGGCCTTCTTGAAATGCTCTTCTGTCCTGTGACCAAACGACACTCGCGGCAACGTGGCATAGTGACTAACTTGTTGAGCTTATACGCTGCTCTGTCATACTTCAAGACCCGCTGGGGGTGCTGATAAGACCAGAGCAGACGAGGTCGAAACTGCTATCCACTCCTGTTTGGATGAGAATACCTGTTGGGAACGCAGGACTATGTGAAGTTCTATGGGCAATTTAAGTCTACATATCTGAATGTGGTAAAATTAAATGACTAATCCCCCAATCATCTTAAGCCAAATAGGGTAAATACATCTCATATATCTTATTTGCTGGTAGCCTAGAAAACCTACTTACAAAAGAAAAATACTTTTTGTTTGTTTGGAATAAGTCCACATGAACAAGTGTTTCCGACAACTATTCCATCACTTCGTACCGTTGGAGTAGTAAGTTGGTAAGGTGGTATTTACAAAGGTTATCTTATCTGCTGGATGCAATTACCACAGATTATGCTGTCAAATTGGCGGAGATTTTATATTAGTTTTAAAATGTATTAATTCGCTTCTGCTTGGTTAGAGCATGCAGCCTGCCATCGCTCTTTTGCCTCGAGCTCTCGAAGCATCTATAAAAATGGTACCGAGTTCTGAACTGGTTGGTAAAGTGGTACAAAAAACGGAAAATGAGATCGTCATGAAATGGATTACGATTTTCTTGAGGGCCTCATCAACCAAAAGGTTCTAATAAATCAAGAAAATTCCGTCACCGTCTTCTGGTGGGATCAACCTACGCGAATCCTTACAAACTTCTGCTTAAAATGTAAGTGAACTCGACACCGCCAAACTACCTCATCCTAGGAATGCTTCATCTCACCAGCGTGATGTATCAACGCCATGCTTAACCACTTTGTACTTTGACAGTTTTTGTCAATCGTTATATGTTGGAAAGGATTTGTATATTTTTCACACCGAACAACCGAAAGAGGGCTGCTTTAAACTTGTGACTGCTGGTTTATGCGAAGAAGACTTCGGCTCACGGTCCTGTGAACCCGAGACATCTATGCTGAGCTTTCGTCTGTCATGTGACAGATTGTCAGAGACAGAAACCATCATTTACGAAAAATTCGCCACATCGCCGTTCAACATGACAGACAAAAGCTCAGCATAGACGACTCTTGGCTGCAGGACAGTGGGCCAAGGTCTTCTTCGCACAATACAGCAGTCACAAGTTTAAGGCAGTCCTTCTTCCTTCGTATCCGTTATGGTCAATTTAACGAATTCCTTTAACCCGCCTTTTCTAACGAAATCAAAGGTACCCCAACCAGACACTTTTAGGGGATTCTTCTAAATGCACTGTTTAGTTAGCATCAGTTTTTGTACATTTGAG